ATCCGAAAAATGAATGGTTGTGCGAGTGTTGCCAACGAATGATATGGTGAAGGTTTATTACTCTGACATACCTTAAGCTCAGGTGTGATGCTACGGCTGAGGAATAGAGAGAAGAAATATGTTTTAAGTGAGTGTTGAGTGCTGTGTTTGAGTGAGTGCTGAGTGCTGTGTTTGAGTGAGTGTTGAGTGCTGTGTTTGAGTGAGTGTTGAGTGCTGTGTTTGAGTGAGTGCTGAGTGCTGTGTTTGAGTGAGTGTTGAGTGCTGTGTTTGAGTGAGTGTTGAGTGCTGTGTTTGAGTGAGTGCTGAGTGCTGTGTTTGAGTGAGTGTTATTTTTCTGTCAATGCTATGGATTTCTAAGAGTTTTATGTGACTAAGGGTTACATTTGAGTAACTAATATATTATTGATAAGAGTAAATTGTTATGATGTTGAGGAACCACCTTGTCACGATACAAATCTTCACTTTAAAACGAAAAAACAAAATAGACGACAAAATGCGAAATACACAAAGAAACTACTTAAGCAAAATATGAATAGAAACCAGGAGCTGAAAACGTGTTAGATTTTTGTTGAAGTTATTGGACATACCTTGAGAGTCTTCCATCACGAAAATGTCCCTCCTCTTCTCCTCCTCCTCCTCTCACTAATGCATGACTCCTGTAAATGGTGAGTTTTTGAGAGAGAAAGAAAGATAGGAATGACAATAGTACGAGAGGTTGTGTTCTTAATAGCATTCTGGGAAGGTCAGGGGAGTGTCATGAGAAATAGCGAGTTGTTGGTTTATTTCGTGTAGGTGAACAGTGTTGGGGTTCATGTGTTATAGCTATTGGTCAGGTTAGGTCAGGTCAGGTTAGGTCAGGTTAGAACAAGACAGGAACGGATATGGAAGGAGAGGTTAGATTCCTTTAAAGCTTTGTTTTGGGAAGGTCAAAGGTCAGGGGTGGGTCTCTATGTTGAAATGCCCTGCAGTTTGAGTTTCTCCCCACCAAGTTATTATATATCATATTTGTATCACTTTTGTTACTTGTATATTATTTGTAAATCAAGAGACCCATTCCCCAATTATGTAACTGTATATTTTCAGCCTTCCGGCTGCCATGCTCTTTCAGTAAACCGTTATTATTATTATTATTATTATTATTATTATTATTATTATTATTATTATTATTATTATTATTAAGAGCGATGGAACATGTGGGAGTAATAATAGGTAATTAGCTTCGGTGGATAGTTTGGGTTTATTTATTATATCGAGTCAAAATAGGATTCACTTACCGAGTTGTTGTTTTGTTGTGTTCAGTGGCTTCAGTAGTTCTTAATATATCGTTCACTGAGTCTATGTTTCTGCACTAGATTATAATATATGAAACCTAAAGAAAGATATCCCCCCCCCCATTCTTACAGCGAGTTACGGAATAAATGAAAATTCAGGAAAGAAAATATCCGACTGGCATTAATTTCTCCTCCGGCTGGCTGGGGAGAAATCCTAAGCCCACTGGTAAACATGATTACTGGGGTGATATTATCCGTCATTAAGTCAGTCTGTCAGGAAAGGCGAAAATAGAACCGAATAAAGCAGCCGAAAATCAGTCAGTCAGTCAGTCAGTCAGTCGGTCAGGAAAGACGAAAATAGAACTGAATAACGCAGCCGAAATTCAGTCAGTCAGCATTTTAACGTGTGGAAAGACTGAAGCGAGTGACATGTAGGCCGCGCGATGGGGGACAGATAAGCAGAGTTGACTGAATATTAACAATGATATGCAGGAAAGTTTCTACGGCCACTGATTATCGGGACATGCCTTAAAATATAAATGAAATATGGTGCAGGGAATGAGGACTGTATATTTAGAGAGAGAGAGAGAGAGAGAGAGAGAGAGGGGTTAGTTTGGCAAGCACATTTGAAGGCAGATGTTGTCTCAGAGGTTGTTGGGTAGATTAATTATCAAGGTGTGTGGGAGGACGAGGAACTTTAATTAGCATAGCATACCTAAGATTTGATAATATCCGTCAGACTGGAGGTGTTTTTCAGTATAAGGTGTAGAGTTGATTGGGTAGGTTTGGTTAGGTTAGGTTAGGGTAGGGTAGGGTAGGTTAGGTTAGGTTAGGCTAGGCTAGGTTAGGCCAGGGTAGGGTAGGTTAGGGTAGGGTAGGGTAGGGTAGGGTAGGGTAGGGTAGGGTAGGTTAGAATGTGTGAGGTTAGACATACTTGAGGTAAGGATTTTTTTTTTTTGGAGTCGTGAGTGATTTATGTATGGGCTGTAATGGTGATTAAGTGTGTCCTGTTTACCGACGGGAGATATAGGTTGAGAGTATAGCGATGGGTTAAATATATTCCTGTTTTGTTATTGATGTTGTTATTGATGTTGTTATTGTTAGATTATTATTAAAGTTATTGTTGTAGTCGTTATTGTTGTTATTGTTATGTTATTGATAATATTATGCTAAATTATTGTTATTATTGATGATGTTGTTATTATTATATTATTGTTGTTATTGGTATTATTGTTTATTATTATTGTTATAAGATGCAGTCACTAAGTGTTACTACTGTGTGAAGTGAACGAGGACGGTGTTTCTGAACAAGTCACCAAATCAAGAGTTAAAGAGTCAAGGTGGAGTGAGGCGAAGCGGACATGTTTACGTCACTCCTTGACTGTAGTAAAAGCAGGTGGTGGTGTTGGCGCTGATGGTCCACTTTGTCGTCACAGTTGTTGCCAGAAGAGTACTCCCCCCCCCCCTCAAACCTCACTTGTCCACGCTGCCAATTGAACCCAGATACTTACGTTACACCAAGCGTTCGGCGTAACAAAAATAACGTGGGAAGTAGATTGAGAGACTACCGTAATGAAGTGTGTTTTCTTGTTCACATTTACGAGGAAGAAATGTCACTGTATGAATCTTTGAACGCTAAGGGCCCTGACTGTCACCATCAATCTCGGGCTTCTCGCAGGCGGGTGTCTCAAGAGCGTCCATTGTGATGACTGAACAGGCACTGGGTAAATCTGGATGTTCAGTGCGATATTAAGCTGTGATTTTTGTTTATCCTATGCGCCACTCACCCACTCGCTCTATTTTTTATTACTTTTATATAAACAGATGAAGATGCCGAGAAACAGGCGTGGGAATTACGTCCAGAATATATATTAGGAGTATGTCTGTCAGTGTGTGTGTGTGTATTAACTTACAACCAGCTGTGATGGTCAGTGCGAGCTGGGTCTTGTTAGCCTCATTCTGTTTATACCACACACACACACACACACCCACACACACACCCACACACCCACACACCCACCCACACACCCACCCACACACCCACACACCCACACACACACCCACACACACACCCACACACACACCTACACACCCATACACACACCCCCACACACACACACACACGAGAGAGAGAGACGCCACTGTCATCCTGAAGAAGCCAGATATTTCCCATACCTAGCAAACACTGTTCAGCCCCTTCATGCCACCGCCATAAACACAATGTCATGGCAGTGTAGTTAACTAAGGTGTTATGTCGCTTACTGTTGATCTGCTGTAGGTGTTGTTAGCGACATCCTCCCTCCTCTTCAGTAAGGTGATCAAGATGCATAAGGTGGGGACGAGGGAGGCTGCATGTTAATAGACTGTCCTCACAAAGTAGCTCAGACGACGCACGTGGAGACCTTGACTGTTACATTACATTAATACATTGTAAACATCAGTGTCAGGGTTAGTGATACGGTTTGTTTTTATGGAGTTGTCCCGGTCACTTATCGTTGTCTCTTCAGTTATCTTGTTTCTTCCATCTCACTTTATGTGTTTCTCTTGATCTTCTTTTTACCTCTGATTGGCACAGTTTTCTTCCTTTCCTTCCTCCTCCTCCTCCTCTCAATATTCATGGCAACAGCTTTATCTTGGTTTTCTCCTCATCATCAGTCCTCCTTCCCTCTCCTCTTCCCCTTTCTTTTACTCCTCCTCCCCCTCTTCCTCGTCAGTGCCCCCATTGAGTCACGGATGCCTGATGGCTGTACAGTATAAATAACTAGATTTGTAATTTATGGCTGTATTATCAACCCATTTCCCGCCGTTCCTGCCTGACTGACCGACGTGAGGGAACGTTCTCAGATACATCTCATTATACAGCATTAATACAGCTTCCCTTGTTTATATTTACTGCGCTGTATACCTTATCTAGTTAGAGGCGCACCATTTATGTTCCTCAATCAACGTCACTGCCAGATCACAGGTAGAGGTGCGATAGAGTGGTGGTACCTTGTTGACATCACTGCTGGATCACAGGTAGAGGTGCGATAGAGTGGTGGTACCTTGTTGACATCACTGCTGGATCACAGGTAGAGGTGCGATAGAGTGGTGGTACCTTGTTGACATCACTGCTGGATCACAGGTAGAGGTACGATAGAGTGGTGGTACCTTGTTGACATCACTGCTGGATCACAGGTAGAGGTACGATAGAGTGGTGGTACCTTGTTGACATCGGTGGAATTTTCTACTTGTTTCTAGGTAAATGTTTCTTAGTGGATTTGAGACTTGATGACTTTACACCAGGAAATTAAGATGTTTATAAGTGTGAAGGATTCCCCCTGAGTGTTCCTTCATGTTGGGTGTTGATGACTCGTGAAATCACATTCAATCTTTGTATTTATTTAGAAATAGGTTTCCCTGATGAGTGTTGGTGAAGACATATGATCATTGTTTTATAATAATACCAGGAACTTTGTATGTTTTTTACGATAATAATAATACTGTGGTAAGAAAGGACACTATTTTGTGCTATTAATAATGATAATAACAATAATAATAATAACTGCAGCCTTTATAAACGATTAAAATTATATAAAGTCTCTTTTTACAGAAACTAACTCAAGTTGGCCGAAAGTTAAGAGACAGGAATTGTAATATAAAAGTTTGAGAGGGCTGGAGGGTGTCCTACAAAGGCCTCCAACACACGAATAGTTTTAACAAGTCTTTCTTCTCTTTTGTGTGTTTCAGGTAAGTCGTCGTCGTGGCGTCGTGGGTGGCGACGCAGCTGGTGAGACAGAAGGTGACAGTGTCGTCGAGTCTCCGTCTGACTGAAGGTCGTCCTCGCCCATCATCGTCAAAGGTAGGTGTCTGAATCACACGCTGCTTGTTACAGAGAGGGAGAGGGTGGGACTTGGACTGGGGGGGTGGTAGTTGGACTTGGAAGTAGGGGGGTAGTTAGGACTGGGGGTAGTTGGAGTTGGACTGGGGGTAGTTGGATCGAGGGGTTGTTAGACTGGGGGTCATTGGACTGGGGATGGTTGGACTGAGGGGTGGTTGGACTGAGGGGTGGTTGGACTGAGGGTGGTTGGACTGAGGGGTGGTTGGACTGAGGGGTGGTAGTTGGAATGAAGGGAGATGGTTTGTTCTTGTGAAACATAACGAAGTGGACAATTATACTGTAGGCGATGGTGGTTGTTGTTGTGGTCAACTTCTTGTCTTGACGTCATCACGACGTTTGAGGAATTGTATGAAGTTTTTAATACAGTATAAGATTTTTTTAATTACCTGCCGTGTATTTGTTTATTATTTGTTTAATTTAATTTTACTCCTGAAATTGTAAATTTGTTTCTTGTTTTGTTTTAGAAGTTTTTGATGTATGTTAATGTTTACGATGTTGTATTGGAACGTCGCTGTAGTGGACGGTGGGAGGAGGAGGTGGGGAGGAAGGGGGGAGGGAGGAGGAGGGGAGGAGGAGGAGGAGGAGGAGAGGATGATAGTTACCCTCACACTGGGTTCTGCTGCTACCCATCTCGACCACTCTTGATGTCTTACAATTTTCACGTACCTTATTATTCAACTATTATAACCATCTTCAGTGTTGTGGTTAGGTTAGGTTAGATGTTAGACATATAGGGTTAGGTTAGGTTAGGTGTTAGAAAGACGTACAGTATTGGGTTATAAATATGAACTTTCTAGTACGATACGGCGGTGATAACACAGCGGCTTTAGGCTCCAAGTGGCATATTAAGGCCCGCACGTCTCTTTTTTTTGAAGTATGTTATGTAGAAGTTATTGGGAGCCTCACGGGCGTGGAGTGTGATGGTGGTGACAAGAGGTCTTTTGATGTATGGAGCCGAAGAGGAGCTCAGGAGGTCGCCACCATATACGACTGTTCCTCCACTCCTTCAGGCCTCAGCACAGGTCTTGATATTTGGGTCAGATGAGTAGTACAGTAATGTGGTGCAGTGTGTGTGTGTGTGTGTGTGTGTGTGTGTGTGTGTGTGTGTGTGTGTGTGTGTGTGTGTGTGTGTGTGTGTGTGTGTGTGTGTGTGTGTGTGTGTGTGTGTGTGTGTGTGTGTGTGTGTGTGTGTGTGTGTGTGTGTGTGTGTGTGTGTGTGTGTGTGTGTGTGTGTGTGTGTGGTGTGGGTGTGTGTGTGTGTATGTAAGGTAGTTGTTGGTGTGTACTGTATAATAGATGATCGTATTGTGTGTGGAGAAACCTTAGTGGTGCTTGCAGTCCTTCCTGCACCACACACACACACACACACACACACACACACACACACACACACACACACACCCCCCCTCCCACACACACATTGTAATATTGTAAACTCACTCTGTACCTCCATCTCGCGTACAGATTTAAATGTGACTTTGTTTTCCCTCTTCGCTAAGTTACTAAAATTAAACCATCGGTCACAGCCAAAACAAACACCCCAAACAGTTATCCTCTGTGCTCTTAAAACTTGACAGCCATTTTATTTTGTTATTGTAGCTACCGTTTTAACTCTTTCAACTGTGTCTGCAAGTGATTGTGTGAGGCATCGACCAAAGGTACCGTGAGAGAGGAGAGGGATTGGAGGCTCTAATCACAGGGCTCAGGTACCCCAATCTTGGAGGATGCTGACCTAATCCCAGTGGCATTTGTTTGGTCCGGTAAAAACACAGGGGAAAGACACGTGTTATAGTTGTGCTTATTTTTTGTTTTTGTTTTTCTTGTAAAGTTTTTGTTACGCGTAGATGATGATGCTTGTGTGATGCCTTGTAGAGGGGGATTATTTGAATGAGATTTTTATTCGAGAGAGAGAGAGAGAGAGAGAGAGAGAGAGAGAGAGAGAGAGAGCAATTAGATAAGGTACTGTGCGTTCTTAGTTCGGCTGTACGACGAAATGAAGATTGATAATTGTTTTATTTTACCTTTCACGAAATCTATCTATTGTTCGCCTCGATGCCGGTGTCTTATCAGCTTTCTCAGCTCCTTTCCAAAATTCCAGCTCGGTTAACGTCTCGTGTTACTGTGATACTTAACCTTGAGAATTAGTTAAAAACATCAGGGTAATAATTTGTAGTATGACTTAGCGTAAAATTCGTGTTAAAAAAAGAACGTCATTATAGGTTTCATCTGTAAAATAGAGTGATTTAAATTTAATTGGTTGATATGACAAAGTGTGTTCAGTGTGAGTAGTGAAATGACGGGAGTGAGGAGTGAGTCTGGATCAAGGGGTAATGCTGAGGGCGTCTAAGGGCCAGTAAGATAGATGATTCCCGGAAACGAAGATAAGAACCAGAGTAAATAAGAGAATGTGGGATAACTGAGGGGGTAAGAAGTAACTGTGGCAAGAGACAGTAGTGAAGAGGGAACAGTTCATCACCAGACACAGAGACTCAAAAAGAGTTCATGGACTGTAGTAGTGATTGTGTGCTCATCATCATTTTAGTCCTTTTTGTTAATCAGGACTTCAGATCACAATAAAAAACCCATATTGTCACATTATCAGTTGCGTGATGGGAAGGATTAACTCTGGGAAATATCCATAACAGTAGTGACCAAGTGACACAGCACTAAAGGTAAACATCAACCCACATGTCAGCGGCCGTGCTGGCTTTGATCTCTGGACTCGAGAATCTTTCTGCCTGAAAACCCAGTCTGTTTCTAGTGTGTCAGCTGAGACAGTTTACAAGGGCTCATGCTGAAAGCTCCATCCATATTTTAAAACTTCCCTGTAATTCACTTTTCATAAATAAGCCAGTGGTCTTTTTTTTTTTAGATGTTTGACGTCATATTATTCCCGTCTACCCATTGGAGTATTGTTGAATTGAATGAAAGTGATCGTAGTATTCGTACACTGGAGATGTTTACCAATATACCCGGGTGCGTGGTTGGCAGTGGTCACTTAGTAACAAGTCCCAGTTTACCCCACCACACTGTATACTGTCACCTGGCTGGCTCTGTTTTGACTGTGTCTAGATTTATTAACGTGGCCAAGTGCTGTTGTAACTAAACATCTCCCTTTTCTACAAAACATGTACTGTATTCCTTTAGCTGTGCTGGGTCACCTGTACAAGAGGCTCTTGCTCCTACACCACTTCTCTATCCACAGATAATTAAAAAGTTTAGTAAATCTTTCTAAGTTGCTTCTGAAGAATTTCAGGCCAGAATTTTGTTTCAGCAACTTTAAACGAAATTAAATTGTATGGAAGTTGAACAGTGCATTACTATTTAAAAAAAATCTAAAATAAATGAATGGTAAATTTCCCTCTTACGTCGACCCGCTGACAGCCGACCAACGTGATAATGTCGTTAAACTTGATTGAAAAAGAAGAGCCATTAAGGAAAATATTAGTTTTATACTATAACAATTTACCTGCAAAAGTTATTAATATATGGAGATAAGATTAAAGCAAACGTGATAAAATAAATGGTTATGTGGCTGCGATAAACCGCCCAGGAGCAAACGTCCCACACGCAGAAATTATCCCTCAGTTAGGTCAGGGAAGGCGGATAATTGGCTGACAACACGTGGCCAAATATACTGAAAGAAGGAGCATCGAGTTACATAAGATTGGGGAGTGAGTGACCCGTTTATCAAGCATTACCCTCATTTATCCCCCATCTCCCTCCCTTCCCATCCCCTCCCTCATCCCCTCTCCCCCCTCATCTCTCCTACCCCCCCTCCTACCCTCCCTCATAGAGACGCCACCCTGACTGGTTCCTGTGGGTGACACCATTAGCACGCACAGGAGACACCACTGACTTTATATTAAAAAAAATGTAGTCACGAGTTGGTGATTATAAGACACAATTGATGAGAACTTAGACCCGGTTAAGCCCATAGAGAATAGAGGAAAGGTGGTGTGTGTGTGTGTGTGTGTGTGTGTGTGTGTGTGTGTGTGTGTGTGTGTGTGTGTGTGTGTGTGTGTGTGTGTGTGTGTGTGTGTGTGTGTGTGTGTGTGTGACTGTGTGTGTGTGTGTGTGTGTGTGTGTGTGTGTGTGTGTGTGTGGGTGTGTGTGACTGTGTGTGTGTGTGTGTGTGTGTGTGTGTGTGTGTGTGTGTGTGTGTGTGTGTGTGTGTGTGTGTGTGTGTGTGTGTGTGTGTGTGTGTGTGTGTGTGTGTGTGGTGACTGTGTGTGTGTGTGTGTGTGTGTGTGTGTGTGTGTGTGTGTGTGTGTGTGTGACTGTGGGTGTGTGTGTGTGACTGTGTGTGTGTGTGTGTGTGACTGTGTGTGTGTGTGTGTGTGTGTGTGTGTGTGTGTGACTGTGTGTGTGTGTGTGTGTGTGTGTGTGTGTGTGTGTGTGTGTGACTGTGTGTGTGTGTGTGTGTGTGTGTGTGTGTGTGTGTGTGTGTGTGTGTGACTGTGTGTGTGTGTGTGTGTGTGTGTGTGTGTGACTGTGTGTGTGTGTGTGTGTGTGTGTGTGTGTGTGTGTGTGTGACTGTGTGTGTGTGTGTGTGTGTGTGTGTGTGTGTGTCTGTGTGTGTGTGTGTGTGTGTGTTGGTAAAGGTTTTGTCGACACCTTACAATACATAAATGATCTCTATTTTAGCTTATATATCTGTATAGATCCCATCAGTTGATATTTTGTGAACAGTGGAGACAAATGAAGCATTAACTTGAGCTTGGTTCAGGTTGCACGGAGACAATAGAGGGAGGGGGGGTTAAGTGACTAAGCTGTGTGGAGACATTGCCTGGGCGGCGGGGTGCGGCAGGGTGACGCCTGCCTGGCCAGCGGTTACTGCACCTCGACACAGCATCTCACTCACCGTGCCACGCCTTACTTTGAGCAGGCCACTCCCTAATACTAAGTGGCGTTCAGATACACGTGTTTTTATTATCTGCTAAAGCACCAACTCTCATTGT